TTTTTAGTCAGTACTTTTTTATTTCTTTCCTTCCTTTCTTCTCCTCTCCCCTCCTCTTCCCACCTCCCTGCTCTTCTCCCCTCCCCGCTCCCCTCCTGCTGCCGCTCCTCCTGTGGACCACCCCACTGTGCCCTGGCCTCGCTGGGACGGGTTTCCAGTGGGCGCATCAGTTACAATGACATGTTTGAGATGCTGAAACACATGTCCCCGCCTCTGGGGCTGGGGAAGAAATGCCCTGCTCGAGTTGCCTACAAGGTAGACCCTGACCCTGCACCGCCCCCGCCAGGAGGCTGTGTGTGCTCGCCGGGGGGTGCTCGCTGGCTCTCCCAGCTCCTCTCCCTTTCAGGGTGCCCGGCTGTCTGTCTGCCGCTCTGCTGTGCACCCGTGGCCGCCTCATTGTGTCTTTCTCTTCAGCCCCATTCCAGCTTCTCTCCCAGACAGAGGGACGTGGCCCCCATGATGTCTCACTGGCCTCTTGTCCCCACAACCTGAGCTGCCCCCTCTGAGAGCCCCCTGGAGGCTCAGGAAGACAGAACTAGACCCTCCTCCCTGCCTTTTCTCCCTCTCTTCCTTTCCTAGGAATGAGGGGACAGACCGTTTGTTTGACAGAGATTGTTTTTGTTCTGGGCTCAGAACAAAGCCCTAAGCCCCTGGTATGGATGGACCTGTCCAGCCCTCTGGGTCTGGCCCTGGGGGCAGGTGGGTCTGCAGGGCCTCTGGTGCTTCCCTCCCCAGCTCAGCAAGTGCAGAGGCTCCCTGGGCCCAGGCTGCAGTCTCCAGGGACTTTCTAGGCTCCATGGTGGGGAGGAGGCACCGTGGCATTGAGAAGGAAAGGGGTGTCGGAGAGAGGCTTCTCGCCATTATTCCTGGGGCCTCAGAGGGCCGCTGGAGGATGGGGATGGCCTCAGGGCCCAGGAGGCATGGGAAGGGGGTAAATCGAGGGATGCCTCCAGGCCTCCCTCCTGGGTGGGCAAGCAGGTCACACGGCCCAGCCCTAAACCTGTTCCATCTGCCCAGCTGTCCCCAGTCCCACCCCATACCCCCTGTGTGTAAGCACCTTCGTTCCCCCAGCACCCACCCACCCATCCAATAGCTCTCCTGAGGCCCCCACTGCTCTCCCGCAAGCAGCCTGTGGTTCAGCCAGCACGTGCCTAGAGCTTTCCTGAGTCTCCCTGAGGAAGACTTTCCTGAATCTGTCTGAGGAAGCTTCCCACCAGAGCTTCCATGTCTCTGGTGCTGTGGACAGCTCTTGTCCACACTGTCTGTCTCTGTGCCCTGACTCTAGGTCTTTGTCACCCGACTCAGTGCAGCCTGTGGGAGCCGAGTGGCTCCTCTAAGCCATCCTCAGCCCCTGCCCTGTCCCTGCATTGTACCTGCCTGGGTGTCCTGCATGCAAGGCTGTAGCTTTGTCCCCAAGAAGGAGAGCTCTGTCCACACTTGGTGCTGGGGCGAGCAGGCAGGGCCGTGACGGAGCAGCCGTTGGAGCCGCATCCAGCTGTGCCGGCTGACTCCAAGATTCTGGGCATGGAGAGACCAAGGGAGGTCTCAGGGTGTGAGCAGAAGGGCCAGATGAGCTGAGGAGGGTCCAGGAGATGTCCAGAGTGCCGCACCTCGGAGGGCCCCGGGCAGAGACACCTGTCTGTTTGCCCTGGCCTTGCCTCTTGGCTTCTTCCTGAGATTCTTGGCCCTTTGGGGCCTGGAGTGGGCTGATGGCACCCTGGGGAGGGTAGCCCTCCAGTGCCCTTGGCGGAGCTCTTCCTTCTTGGAAATCACCTGCCTGTTCTGCCTTCACTGCTATTCCCAACGTCCCCCAGTGCCTGCCCTCTGGGAGAGGAATTCCTTGGCCTCTCACACCGCCATCCATGCTGGTCTGCAGGGATGCCGTTCTCTGGGAAGCCGTTTACTCCTGTTGTGCTGCACATACATGCTGTGCAAAGCCCTGGGACTGGATGTGGCAAGTGGGGCTTTGCCAGCATTCGGGGCCAGAGTCAGGCTCATGTCTCCAGCCTGGCTTGCATCCACACCCCACCAGCTGTTAGGCTGAGGACTCTGGATTTGGGGCCAGGATGCTAGGGACAGGGCTGTGTGGCCCTCCCTAGAGAAGGGGCTGTGCTGCCATAGGTTGCAGGCTTGGTCAAGGACAGGCAGACCCTGGGGAGGGGCTCCTGTCTCTAGCTGGACAGTGCTCCTGGGGCTCCACTTGGCCAGCTCCTTGCTCCTCACGCTCAAAATATTCCAGGCACACTTGAGACACATTTCTTCTTTGAGGCCTCTTAAGATCTTAGAGCCTGGGTCTCTGGGCAGCACTGGCTGTGGCCAGAGAACTGTGGTGCAGACATGAGCTCGTCTCCGGCTGTTCTGTCCCTGAAAACTGGCAACGGGCTATCTGCCTGAGAGGGAGATGGAGCAGCGCCGCAGGACACTGCCCCAGCCCATTCTGAAGTGCAGCAGCCTCGGCCTGCGGCCCTGGGTAGTCCCATCTGTTCCTGTCCTTCCAGCAGCAGGAGCTGCCTTGCGCGGAGATGGGCTCTGCCTTTTAGTGGCATCGAGCATCTCTCCCAGGCCTCATGCTGGGTGGTGAGAGGCAGAAGCCTCACCGGACCTGAGCTAAAACCAGGGTGTCACCTCTAGGGGTCCCCACTGGGAGCTGGGCCCCAGAGAGGCACCCTGGACCACCTACCCCTTGTCCAGATGATCCAAGCGGTGGGAGGAGAAGACGAGGATGGGCAGAGCCATGAGCACAGGAATCCCTTCTGTCTGGCTGCCACTGCTCCTCCCCAGCCAAGGCTGCACTCCTACATTCAGTCACAGGCAGGGGTCCCTCGGGGTGAGGAAGTGGCTGTGCTTTCAGAGGGATCAAGGCTCCAGTCTTTACCTGGAGTTCTACTTTTCTGCAGCCAGGAGGGTCCTCAGCTAGATCTGCGGGGCGGGGAGTCCATGGGAGAGTGTGAATGCTGGCAAAACTCTCACCCGCCCCACCTCACTCAGGCCCAGGCACCTGCAGGGACCACCACGGGGATGCCCAGCCCGGCCTCCAGGGACCCCATCGTTGCGTAGTCTTGGGGTGGGGGGTGACCGCAGCAGGCCTGGCCCTGACCGCCCTGCTTGTCCCCAGCCTGGCCTCCAGGGACCCCGTCATGGCGTAGTCTGGGGTGGGGTGACCCTCCAGGGACCCCGTCTTGGCGTAGTCTGGGGTGGGGTGGCCTCAGCAGGCCTGGCCCTGACTGCCCTGCTTGTCCCCAGCCCGGCCTCCAGGGACCCTGTCATTGTGTAGTGTGGGGTGGGGTGGCCGCAGCAGGCCTGGCCCTGACTGCCCTGCTTCTCCCTAGCGTCTGGTTCGCATGAACATGCCCATCTCCAGCGAGGACATGACTGTCCACTTCACGTCCACACTCATGGCCCTCATCCGGACGGCACTGGAGATCAAGCTGGCCCCAGGTGAGCAAGGCAGCCTCGGAAGGAGGGCCCCGGACCCAGGGATGTGCACCCCCGCCCTGAGTGCCAGCCCCAGGAGGACACGCAGGGAGGAGGGTGAGGGGCCAACTGTGTCTGGAGGGGTCTGAGGACAGCTGCACAGGATGCCCGCCCTGTGGGGCACTGGCATTTTCGCCTGGTAACCATCTGCACATTAGCACTGCAATGATCCCATTTTCAGGTGAGGAAACTGAGGCATGGTGAGATTTCAGAGCCAGCTGGTGGTGGAACCAGGACACAGCCTGGCCAAGCCTCACCACAGCTAGCGCCCTCCCTGGGGATGAGCTGGCATGCCCTTGGCCCCTTCCCATAGTGAGCTCATTCCCTATCTGGTCTTTCCCTGAACTGATGGACAGAACCACAGAGTGGTGCCAAAGCAAGCAGAGAAGGAGCCTCTAGTGTGTTCTTCCCCACCACAGAGGCGATTACAGCCCCAGAGAGCCCACCCCCGCCCCCCTGCGTCTGCCCCGTCCCCTGCTTTGTGCACCAAGCCCCACTCACGTCTCCCCAAGGATGCCATACTGGCAATGCCATACTGTTTCTTGCCCTGCCAGTTTTTCTCTCTACTGGATTATTTATGTCAACATATAAACACCCGATTATTTCCTCCATCTTTAAAAAGTTCTCCACCGGGTGCAGTGGCTCACGCCTGTAATCCCAGCACTTTGGGAGGCCAAAGTGGGCAGATCACGAGGTCAGGAGATCAAGACCATCCTGGCCAACATGGCGAAACCTTGTCTCTACAAAAAGTGCAAAAATTAGCTGGGCGTGGTGGTGGCGAGCACCCGTAGCCCCAACTATTCGGGAGGCTGAGGCAGGCTTGAACCTGGGAGGTGGAGGTTGCAGTGAGCTGAGATTGCACCGTCGCACTCCATCCTGGTAACAGAGTGAGACTCCATCTTGAAAAAAAAAAGTTATCTTCTCCTCTGTTGACTTCCCTATTCTCTCCTTTCTAATGCCTGCTCATAAGAGGTTGTCTCTGAATTCCCTTTCCCACATGCTGGAGGCTCTTCCCAGCTTCACCAGAGCTGCTCTTGGGGTCTCCAGGCCTCCATGTTGCTCGACTCGAAGGCCACATCCCCAGCTCATGGGCTGTCCTTGGCCGTTTCTCCGTTTACTCTCTCTTCTTTTTGAACCTTTTTTTATCTGTTCCTCTGGTCCCACGAACTCTGGGTGTGCCTTTGTGCCATGGAATGTTCTCTACTCTCATTCCTTTATCATCTCACCTATTCCCATGGCTTTAAATAGCATTAATCCAATTTTGTAATTTTAGTCCTGACTTCTCCCCTGAACTTCAGATTTTCCCACACAGCCTTCCCCATCTCAGTCAATGCTCAAGCCGAAACCTTAGAAGTCATCTTAATTTATTCACGTATTTATTATTTATGAATGATAGGGTCTCACTGTGTCACCCAGGCTGGAGTGCAGTGGTGCAGTCACGGCTCACTGCAGCCTCCACCTCCCAGGCTCAAGTGATCCTCCTGTCTCGGCCTCCCAAAGTGCTGGGATTGCAGGCACCACCCCTCCCTACTAGGTTTTGTATATTTTTTAGAGATGGGGGTTCGCTGTGTTGCACAGGCTGAGGATCATCCTTTTCTCCTCCTTCTTTCTTATCCCATTTCTGATTCATGCCTTCTCTCTCATATTTTCTTGACTCTTATCTTTAAAATATATCCAAAATGTGGCCACTCCTCTCCCGTCCCTCACTGCTGTGTCCTCTGGCTCTTGGCTGTTGCTACAGCAGCTTCTAATTCATCCACTTCTGCCCTTGGCCCCTTCTGTCTGCCTTCAACACAACAGCCAGAGTGATCAGGTTTAAAAAAAGACTAATAGCCGGGCGCGGTGGCTCACACTTGTAGTGCTAGCACTTTGGAAGGCCGAGGCTTGCAGATTGTCTGAGCTCAGAAGTTCAAGACCAGCCTGGACAACACGGTGAAACCCCATCTCTACTAAAATAGAAAAAATTAGCCGGGTATGGCGATGTGTGCCTGTAGTCTCAGCTACATGGGAGGCTGAGGGAAAGAATCACTTGAACCTGGGAGACGGAAGTTGCAGTGAGCCAAGATCGTGCCACTACACTCCAGCCTGGGTGACAGAGCGAGACCTCATCTCTTAAAAAAAAAAAAAAAAAAAGATCAGGCGCGGTGGCTGCTGCCTGTGATCCCAGCACTTTGGGAGGCCGATGCAGGCAGATCACAAGGTCAGGAGATCGAGACCATCCTGGCTAACAGGGTGAAACCATGTCTCTACTAAAAAATACAAAAAAAATTAGCCAGGTGTGGTGGCAGGCGCCTGTAGTCCTAGTTACTCCGGATGCTGAGGCAGGAGAATGGCGTGAACCCAGGAGGTGGAGCTTGCAGTGAGCCGAGATTGGGCCACTGCACTCCAGCCTGGTAGACAGAGCAAGACTCCATCTAAAAAAAAAAAAAAAAAAATCAGACTAACAAAATTGATAAAGCCCTACCTGGACTGATCAAGAAGATAGAGAAGATACACATAAGCAATATAAGCAACAAAAGAGGGAACACCACCGCAAGTCCTGTTAAAGTTAAAAAGATAGTAAGAGGCCAGGCGCAGTGACTCACACCCATAATCCCAACACTTTGGGAGGTCAAGGCAGGAGGATCGCCTGAGGCCAGGAGTTGATGACCAGGCTGGGTAACATAGCAAGAATCTGTCTCTACAAAAAATTGTTTAAAATAATTAGCTGGGCATAGTGGACACACTTGTATTCCCAGCTACTCAGGAGGCTGAGGCAGGATGGATCACTTGAGCCCAGGAGTTTGAGGCTACAGTGAGCTATGATTGTGCCACGGCACTCCAGCCTGAGTGACAGTGTGAGACCCTATCTCTTAAAAATAATAATAAATTTTAAATAAAGGAATGTAATAAACAACTTTGTGTCCATTTTAACAAATGAAATGGAAAAATTCCTTGAAAAACACAAACTGTCAAGCTCACTCAAGAATAGATAACCTCTGCAGTGGCTCATGCCTGTAATCCCAGCACTTTGGGACGCCGAGGTGGACTGATCACGAGGTCAGGAGATCAAGACCATCCTGGCTAACACAGTGAAACCCTATCTCTACTAAAAATACAAAAAATCAGCTGGGTGTGATGCTGGGTGTGATGGTGGGTGCCTGTAGTCCCAGCTACTTGGGAGGTTGAGGCAGGAGAATGGTGTGAACCCAGGAGGCGGAGTTTGCAGTGAGCCAAGATTGCACCATTGCACTCCAGCCTGGGTGACAGAGCAATGAGCCAAGATTGCACCATTGCACTCCAGCCTGGGTGACAGAGCAAGACTCTCAAAAAAAAAAAAAAGAATAACCAGGTCAGGTGCCCTGGCTTATGCCTGTAATCTCAGCAGTTTTTGTTGTGGAAGGAGGAGGATCACTTGAGCTCAGGAGTTTGAGACCACTCCGGGCAACACAGGGAGCCCGTGGCTCTACAGAAAAATTTAAAAATTAGCTGAATGTGGTGGTGAACGCCTGTGCTCCCAGCTGCTTGGGGAGGCTGAGGTAGGAGGAATCAGCTGTGATGGTACCACTGCACTACAGCCTAGGCAATAGAGTGAAACCCCATCTCAAAAAAAAAAAAAGCTTCAGTAATACCATATATATTAAATTAAGTTTAGAGTGGAAAAACCTTCCAAGAAAGACAGTTCCAGGTCCAAATGGCTTCATTATTGAAGTCTACCAACTGTTTAAGGAAGAAATAATGCCAATTCTATATAGACTCTTCCAGAAAGTGGAAAAAGGGAATATTTTCCAACTTATTTTATTTTCAGAGGCCAGCTTTGCTCTGATACCAAAACTAGACAAAGACGTCACAAGAAAAGAAAACTACAGACCAATATCCCTTATGAACATAGATTTTTAAAAATCTTCAACATAATCTTTCAGCAAACTGAATTTGTTTGGTTTTTTTTTTTTTTGATACCGAGTCTTGCTCTGTCGCCCAGGCTGGAGTGCAGTGGCGCGATCTTGGCTCACTACAAGCTCCGCCTCCTGGGTTCACGCCATTCTCCTGCCTCGGCCTCCCGAATAGCTGGGACTAGAGGTGCGTGCTACCACGCCTGGCTAACTTTTTTGTATTTTTAGCAGAGACGGGGTTTCACCGTGTTAGCCAGGATGGTCTCGATCTCCTAATCTCGTGATCCACCCGTCTCGGCCTCCCAAAGTGCTGGGATTACAGGCGTGAGCCACCGCGCCCGGCCAAGCTGAATATATTTTAAAAGATAATACCTGATGACACAAGTGGGGTTTACTCCAGGATAAGTTGGGTTCAGTGTTAAAAATCAATCAATATAGTTTACTGTATCAAAGAAGGAAAAGCATATGATTATCTCCATAGATATAGAAAAAGCATTTGACAAAATTCAGTATCCATTCATGTTTTTAAATTTCTCCATGAACTGGGAATTAAGGAAAGCTTCATCCATCATGTATCATAGACTCACTTATACAGTCAATTGATTTTTAACAAACTTGGAAAGGCAATTAATGGAGAAAAGATCATCTTTTCTACAAACAATGCTGGAGAAATTTAGACAATCCTATGCAAAAAGAGAAGCTTTCTTGACATGCCGTTTTAGTTGCTCGGGCTGCCACAACAAAATGCCGCAGCTTAGACAAAAGAAATGTATTTCTGACAGTTTCGGAAGCCAGAAGTCCAAGAGCTTGTGTTTGTGAGGTGGGTGTCACTCTTAGGCCTCTTCTCTTAGCTAGTAAACAGCCATCGTCCTGCTGTGTCCTCACACAGACTTTCCTGTGTGTGTGCATGGAGAGCAAAAGAGCAAGTGGATTTTCAGGTGTCTCCTGTGAGACCACTGATTCTGTGGATCAGGGCCCCACACTTAGGATCTCTTAGAACTGATCACCTCCTTACAGGCCCTGTCACCAAATACAGTCGCATCTGGGGGTTAGGGCTTCTACATGTGGACTGGAGTCGGGGACAGCTTAATCCATAGCACATACCTTTTACCCCATACAAAAAATAACTTGAAATGGATTGTAAACAGAAATGTAAAATCTAAAATTATGAAACCTGTGTAGAAAACACAAGGCCAGGTGTTGGCTCACGCCCATAATCCCAGCACTTTGGGAAGCCAAAGCAGGTGGATCAACTGAGGTCATAAGTTCGAGACCAGCCTGGCTAATATGGTGAAACCTGTCTGTACTAAAAAAAAAAAAAAAAAAAAAAAAAAAAGGCTGGGCCTGGTGCTGTGCTGTGTACCTGTAGTCCCTGGGAGGCTGAGGCAGGAGAATTGCTTGAACCTGGCAGTTGGAGGTTGCAATGAGCTGAGATTGTGCCACTGTACTCCAGCCTTGGTGACAGACCGAGACACTGTCTCAAATGGAAAAAATCGATAAACTGAACTACAGCAAAACTTTCGCTATATGAAATATATATTTCTATTTCAGACAGAGTCTTGCTCTGTTGCCCAGGCTGCAGTGCAGTAGCACAATCTCAGCTCACTGCAGTCTCTGCCTCCCGGGTTCAAACGATTCCCCTGCCTCAGCATCCCAAGTAGCTGGGATTACAGGCACGCACCAACACACCCAGCTAATTTTTGTATTTTTAGTAGAGATGGGGTTTTACCATGTTGGCCAGGCTGATCTCGAACTCCTGACCTCAAGTGATCCAC